TGCAGCAGGCTGGTGGCATCCTGACCCTCCGTGGGCTTTGGGAGAGATGCTGAGCCCCTCTGAAGTGCCTCCTGTGTTATTTAACCTCCCTCCCTCTGCAACTGGCTCAGAGCTACCCTCTGTGGTGGCAATGGCTCAGCCCTGACCAGCCCTGGGAGCCCGGGCAGGAGGCAGTCCCTGTCCCAGGGAGCAGCAACCAGCGTGGGGGGGCTCATTTTGTGATTATGCTGTGGAACGGTGGCGTTACATCTTCCAGCCTGTCCCCTGGAGATGGTTCTTCTCATCCTCTCTCTGACAAAATTTAAGATGGTCACGGATAACTGGCTTTCATTATCGCTGGGCTCATAAATCCTCCTGTTATCCTCTTTTGGGCAGGTTCCTGCCCTCACCCACACGGTAGCCCCTCTCTGGCTCCAGCATGGGGTAACCTCCCCCTGCCCCCCTTGTTCTGTGGTCCCTGCACATTCCTGCTTCCCCCCATTTCCAAGTGCCATTAACTGTTGTGCACTTGCTATCTCGTCCCTCCCACCCATTTCTCCCACAACAGGGTCAAACTCTCCAGGGCTGGCTGGGTAATTTTCCCTGTTGTTGCTCATATGGTTTTCCATTGCTCTTCCACCCTTCTGTCTAACATCCAACACCAAAGAATTCCCTGGTCTCACAGTTCCCATCCTTCTGGGGCTGTTTAGCCAGGCAGGGCATGATTCAGCCCTTCATCACGCCTTGAGGTTTTCGATGACATCTGTTACTTCATTTTAATTCCCAACTCACTTTTGACATGTTTTTGGCTCTGGCTGCCCAGTGGTATTGATTAGACTTTTTATGGAGGGAGTGCTCTTTCTGTCTTTAGTTCTCATGCAAGACACCTTTCTGTGGTGCAAGGGCTGTACAATTAAAACAAAGAGAGAAAGAAAGAAGGAAGGAAGGAAAGAAAGGAAGGAAGAAAGAAAGAAAGAATGAAAGAAAGAAAAAAAAAAAGAAAGAAAGAAAGAAAGAGAAGTCTCTCCACATAGACCAGACCTTATGTCCTGCTCCTCTAATTGCCTGTGAGCAGAGATAGCAAATAAAAATTCTTCAAGGCTTCTTATTTCATTTTTAAGAGCATTGCTTTTTGCAGACCTCTGGCCCCAAACACAGGCTGATAAAGGTTTCTTTTGGGTATATAGGGAAGACCATAATGGTTTCATCATCCCTTGAGAGCATGGTAACCCCAGTCCTTTCTTTTCTCTAGGAAGGGGAGTAGTACAGATTAGTGATGGGAGTTTTACTGCCACAGGGACTGGCTGTGTGCAAAGAATGTTACAGATTTGTGCAGGGGAAGACTCCAATTTCAGCTTCTAGACCTTGGGATTTAAAGGTGACAGTAAAACCCCTGCAGCCCTTCCAACAGCCAGCTTTGGCAAAGCAGCTCTGATCATGGGGCTGATGCACCTCAGCTACTGCTTGGCCTTGTGAGGAGGATGGGAGGGTGCTGGGGGGGGCTTCCCTCTTGGGACACTCTGGAGAACATGTAGGGTGGTGGGACCCCTCACCTCTGATGTTTGTGGAGCTTCTCCCCAGCAGAGCCCCTGGGTCACCAGTTTGCAGCCAGTTTTACTGGTTAGCTCTGGTGGTGGGATGGGGACGTGCAGGGCTGCCTGGCCGTGGCTGACCCTGTGGGTGCTCCTCCAGCCAAGGATCTGCCAGATTTAAAAGAGGGAGTGAAGGAGACACTGAAGGGGTCAAATTGAAAGACAGCACAGTAGAAAAAGCCAGAAAATACCCACAGCTTCATGGTGGCATCCAGGACTCTATTGGCACTGGCTGGTAGCTACAGATCATAGCAAGGCCCCAGAGCTCGGGGGTCACCGGGGTGAAACAGCCCTAAATCAAGGAGAGACCAGTGGGGGAAATGCAGAGAGCTATGTCCAATACTTTGGGATACTGCCCTGGGAGCAAGACCAGCCCTGGCAGAAAATGTGGGGCCACTGGTGTCCAAAATGCAGCTGACGATGGGAGCCAAAGAAGGGAAGAGCTGCTGAGCATCAGATTCGGTGCAACCAGCTGAGGAAATCCCAGGAGGTGTTGTGGGGCATCCCCCTACCTGGCCTTGATGGGAAACACAGAGTCTCATCCACTTGGCCCACGGCCACTCCTGCCAAAATATTTGCGTTTGGGGATGGACACCCGCCAGCCAAATTCGAGTTGGCCTGAAAAGCTCTCTGTAGTGGCCAAACAGCCCCAGGAGATGGAGCTGAGCCTGCTCACCATCTGTCTGAGGTGGTGGCAGGGCTGTGACGCCGGAGCCGAGGGGAGCTGAGCGCTGTGCCTGCGCTGGGGCGGCCGGGGCTGAGTCCCCCGGGGCTGTGTCCCACCCCAGCCGGCTGTGCCAGCCCTCGGGGCAGCAGGAGGGAGGGCCCATCCCACCGCCTGCAGCACAGGCAGAGGCACCATCTGGCACTGCTGCTGCCCTCGGCCACCGCCAGCCAAGCAGGGGGTTGGTTGGGATGCCAGGCTGAAAACGAAGAGGAGTCCTGCACTCCGTGGGTGCCAGTTTGGAAGAAAAGCACTGATCCTGGGCCAGTTTTCTGGTCCATTTGGTTTCTCTGTGGCTTGATGGGGACATTAAATGGCAGGCATCACATGCCAAGCTTGGGTATCTCATCCCTGTGTGGAGAGGCCAGTGACGAGCGGTTCTCAGGCACGAACACCATTAGCAGAGCTGGCTGTAGTTGTAGAGAGGAGTCTCCCTGCAGTGAAAACCAGTGTTCCCCACAGGAGCTCACTGTCCAGTCCTTCACCAGTCCTGGCCTGGGTTGTTTGGGCTTGAGACAGAAGATTTGATTTGTGGACTGCAGCAGTTGCTTCTGCAGACAGATTCTGCCTTGCCAAGCTCCAGCTGGGCAATCCCCTCCGGCTGCACACCCTCAGGGTGATGGTGAGTATCCCAGGGACAGCAGAGAAAGGACTGCAAGTCTCTGGTCTGCCCAAGTCCAGCCCCAGGATCTCTCTGCTCCCAGCAAATGAACTTTAAACAAGGTATGTTTTCCTACTTGCCTATTCATTGTCTGGATTTCAAGTAAGATCACTTCAGGTTTTAAGCAGAGTTTCCTAAGTTAGTCTCACAAACAAAATCGTCACAGAAAGCCTTGTTTCTGCGAGGCTGTACCTAACATCTGTTAGAAGGTGAGTGGCAGCAGCTGTCACTGAATAATCGTTCTCATTAACTCATCTTTGTACCTTTCTTTTGCCTGATGAAACCCTCTCTCCAAAACACAGCCTTGAGGGCTGCTCAAAAACAAAGCAGTCAAACAAAGAGAGACAGAACCAGGGAGGCTGGAAACTCATCCACCTCCTCATCCCATAGAGACAATTTAGAGGGAGAACATGCCTCAGTTCCTGATCCTTGCTGGGTCCAAGAGGACAGACTGTGCCAGCTGCACAAGCTCCTGGGGCAGGGCTGAGGTCACCGTTTTTCCCATCCCTTCATCCTTCCACCTCCTGCTGGTGAGTCCAGCAGAGATCTCATTACCACTGCCCCTGTGCTGGCCTGCTTCCAGCACCTGCTGAAAAACTGCCCATGTCACCAGGGGCTGCTTTTTAAAGACAACTCTTGTAAATCAGTTCATTTATGCTGTTTTTTGATGTTTTTTGCAACCCCATAACCCAAAGGCACTGGAAGGGCACTCCTAGACTCTGATCCCAGCTGTGGGTCAGCAGGTCAGGGTTGTAGCCTGTTCTATGATATTGGTGTCAGTGACCTAAATGATGTGGGATCCCAAGGCCCACTGACTCCTTCTGCAGACTACAGAGACCAGTTGCTTGGCCATACTTAGAGATGCCACCAAGTGAGTAACCATGAAAAAATAACTTCAAGTCAAGGGTTTCAAGCTCAAACCTCAAAGCTAGCTCCTGAATCCAGGTTTTGGTATACCCAGTGTGGCACTGGGGTCTCTCAGGCATCTGGAACTCACACAGACCGGCTGGGACCTCTCCCTGCCCCTGTGTTTCGGCTTCTTAACAGCCTTTCTTTGCCTCCTGCCATCCCAAAACCCTGCCCTGAGCTGCTCCAGCATTCTAAGGAGGGAATTGCACGTAGTCTGCTTCCATCTCTGTTTGCAAACAGAAAAATACCCCAAGAATCAGATGCGGGGGAGACCAGGGCAGGAAGGAGCATCCCTTCCTCTGAGGAAGGCTCCAGGGGCTGTGAGCAGGAGGTAACAGAGAGGCACCGGGGTGGGCAGGGAAGGTGAGGCACTGGGTATTTCTGGCTGTGAGCCAGTGATGCAAAGCTCAGGGTTGAAGGAGATAAGATCATATGAGAGTGATGGAGTGAGCAAAGGGATGTATGTGGGCGTCACAGGGATCCCCGTGAGATCTGTGACAGCAGCTGTGAGGTGTCCCTGGCTGTGCCCCTCTGCCAGTCCTCAGCCTTTCAGAGGAGCAGGACCCCTGGGAGCCCCTCATGCGATGAGGAGCTCTCTGCCTCCTCCTGCTCTTCCCACATCATATCTCTGGGATACTGACCAGTTGTGACTTTTATTTGACCAATGGCCTCCTGCTGACAAGGAGCATACGGCCGGGGAGGGAGCAGAGGGAGAAGCCATAGATTATTCTTAATTGACTAGAACAGACGAGGCTGACCTTCAGAGAACAAAGCCATGAATCTTCACACAATGGAGTGAGTGCCACGTGGATTTACTGTCCTCTGGCTTTAAAGCTCCACCAACCCTCTCCTGCTCATGCAAGACAAGCAGAAGGGCCAGGAGGATCTACTGGGCAAAGCCCTGATTTGCAGGGTTCTCCCAGCCACAAGTCATGAGCTTACATGACCTTTCAGGTGTGTTTTCCCTTGCAAGCTGTTCACAGCTACTGGACAAGAGGGGGAGCAGACAGATAGACATGGAGCAGCAACAGATGGAGGGACACAGCCTTCACCAGTGTTTTCTGTAACCTTCTCTGGAGAGAGGAAATCTCTGTAAGACCAGGAGCATCATTAAAGAGCTCTGTTATTTTTCTAGGTATTTGTGCCTTTATAATTCAGCTTCAGCGAAGACAATATACCTTCCAAAAATGCATGACAAGCTGAACGGGAAGATCTGTGAAGCCTTGAGTTGTTTAGGGGAAAGCACCCTACAAACCTTGCAGTGCCATCGCTGAGGCTGCAGGGACCAGCTGAGCTGAAGGTAAGTGCCACCTCCAGAGTGACCTGAAGGATCCTAAATCTCTTGCTGGCTTTGAAACGGGGTACTGTCCCTTCCAGGACAGAGGGAAGTGGCAAAACTTCTGCCTTTCCCTTTGCTCAATCAAACCTCACCTTCAATGTGGCTGAGAGTGAAGGGCAAAGCTGTTTGTTGCTGTGGCTCCAGGGCTTGAACTGTAATGAAGAGGGATGAGAACTCAGATGTGCTGGTAGGGTCTTTCTGTGTGGTTTCTACTTCTGCAGTGCCAGTAGTCACCAAGCATGCACTGCTGATTTGGGAGGATTCCTACCAGATGCTTGGTCACTCTGAATCAGCAGGGCTGTGTTGATGTGTACCAACTGCAGCCTGGCCCCTCCTGCAGAATCTTGAATGTGCCCAGTACCAGCTAAGAACCAAGAGAAGAAGATACAAGTAAAAAAACAGAAGGAAAAAAACCCCAACAAACAAAAAAGCTTTCCTGTCTGAGAGCAGCTCTGTGAATATCAGCCAGTTTCTTTGTGGGCAAAGCCAGAAGCACAGTCAGGGTTTGTTTGACTAGCTCAGCATTTCCAGGGAAGAGTCACGGTGTTTGCACCTCTTAGGACCTGGGAAAGGCATGTCTGGGCCCTGGACATCTCACAGGGCTGACAGGGCCTGGACAGAAAGTGGAAAGGGGGGACAGTGTGTTGACAAGGGACAAACAAGTATCCTGGCTGCAGTTTGAGCATGATAGTCTCTCCAGGAGCTGTGTGTGCATGTGGCTTCCTCACTCCTGTACTGCTGTGTCTTGATGTTCATCTTTCCTCTCTGCTGCTCCTCGGAGGAGGGACAGATTCCATGGAATCAGAGAGAGAACCTCTGGCTGTGCTGCTTGGTTTGTCAGTGCCCTGACAAAACGCATCTCCTGAGGAGGGAAGGCAAAGTTTCCAGAGCACTGCTGGCTTTGCTCGTAGGCAGGGCAAGCTTCTGCCTGGCAGCTCCATCATTTGCCATTTGCAGAGGATTGGGGAGGGAGAGAAGATGGGGAGTGACAGGTTGCCCCTCTGGGTGGTGAGTATCTGCACGGAGAAGGCACCAGGAGAGAGCCAAGGAAACCTTGGGGCCATCTGCGATGATGGAGAGTCTTCTTATGGCAGGAGGTCCCTCCCAGCTCTCTCAGCCCGACCTTGGGCTGCTCCACAAGTTGCCTCAAGACATGTGTGGAAATGTTCGGGGGTGATTTTAGTGGCCACTGAAGCTGTGCTTCAGCTGATGTGCCCTGATGTCCCCTGTGGACTGCCTGCTCACTCCCACATTTCCAACGAGCCCATTTCCACCGCAGCTCAGCGGTGCCCAAAGCTACCCCATTCACAAGCTGCACAGCCCTTTTCCATCATCTTTACTACAGCAGGCTCCTCTCTGGGCTGCCTTCCCACCCTTACAAGGCCCTTCCTGAGCAGATCCTTCTCCCTCACTCAGCATCCATCACGGACCTTCCCACCCTGACCTGGGCTGATGTGATTCCGTGGGACTGTGGCTCCAACCTCCAGTACCCCAACACCTCTCCCTCCCTGAGCAAAGGGGCTCATCCAGATGATGGGTGTCTCTGAAGCATCTGATCATGTGAACAGAGGAATGTCGAGTGCCATTCCCCTCAGTGGGGCAGGGTGGGCTTTGATCCTGACTAATTTGGCTACACAATCCCACTGAGTGTGTGCAGGTTTAATCTCTTGCACTACATTAGGATGGAGTAAAGGGGGAGAAAAGTGCAGCTGTTATGGTGTTACACAGCCTCTCCCTGGCTAGATGACACGGTCCCTGCATTATCAGGCATCCGGTGTAACAGCTGGCAGAGGACACTGTCCAAGTTGTCTGGAACAGCAGAGATCAGAGAAAGTGATTTTGCAGGAAGGTGAGTGAAAGGATCAGCCCTTCTAGGGATGAACTCTGGATCCCAGGGTTCCAGCTCCATATGGATATAGGCACTTGAATTGCTGGGACTGCCCATATGGGTACCTTTATATCATACTTTTGTAATCTTTTCATTCTGATCCTGCAACAGCTGGTGCTCAGAGGGACTGCTGGCCCCAGGCAGGCAGGGATGCAGAGGCTTCTGGCATCTGGGTGCAGGATTCAGGCTCAGGAACTAACTGGCTCTTTTCTCCTGCTGTCACAGGTCCTGCTTATGCTGCCAGGCACAGCTCTGCTTTTGCAAACTGATTTAATGCCACTGTACCTGGAGCTCATGCAAAGCACGGCTCTGGAGGAAAAAAAAAGGCACCTGCAGATCACCTCAGTGGTGTTGGATTCCCAGGATGGGCAGCTCCAGGGATCACAGCAGAGGTGGGAGCGGGCTTGGAGCCGTCTGGTGGAGCTGCTCTGCGTCAGACAGGTAGAGAGCAGCTCTGTGGTGTTTGCTTTTTATGTGTGTCTTGGGGATCTGACACCACCCACACACGCTCAGCTACAGCCTGCAAGGGGGACGAGCGAAAGACACCTTCTCCAAAGGCACTGGAGCAGTGGTGGGAGCAGTGCTTGGGAGCATCGTGAGGATGGGTGGGAACCAAGAGTGGCAGCTGCTGGGAGCTCTCCCAGGGAGTGGAGTGATGGGATCCATCTGAGAAACGTGAACCCTGCTGCTCTGTTTGGACATCATTCCGGATCTTGCCGATCCTCAAATCCTGGGCTTAATCTTCCATGGCAGCACACTCCTGAAATCCAACTCTGTGTCACCAGGCCCCCTGTCCCATCATTCCTGCTGTGCTGCACATTGAATTGTGCACAGAGGATGATCAGAAGCCCCTTAATGAGAAGGGAGAGTGTCATATTAAAAAGGCGTGTCCGAGAGAAACAAGTCTTGGATCCTTCTGCGAATTATTCCCCTTCCAGGGGTTTCAGCAGCAACTGCTGCTTACAGATTTTTTTCCCAGGCTTTCCACAGGTTTATACAAACTTCATATTAAAAATATGAATTGGGGACTCCTGGGTTAAATCCTTCAAGTGGTTGTTATTTTACTTCTTCCACTTGGGATTTTTAGAAGAATGCAGTACTTAGCACACATTTAAATTACAGCAAAATGCAGGAAACATTACAATCTTTTCTACCTCTACTTCATTAACCTCTTTGCTCTCTGAAGGACTGGCAGCCTCACAAGAGAGCAGATTTTCCCAGTACAGGGTATTGTTGTCATGCCTGTCAGGAAGTCCCACCAAAATTCAGAGACTGCCTGTCTCTACTTTTAATGTCCTAAACATTTATACACTATTATTATTATTGTTATTATTAGTGGGCCTGGCCACCTTTTCATTCATTTCTTCCACTTTTAGTTGATACTTTGCACTTAAGACAACCAACCACAGCTGCTGTTCCCTGATGAATTTGGGAGGATCAAGCTTTGTAGCAGAGTTAAAAGGGAAATACTTGATAAACCAAGCTATTCTGGGAGCAGCAGAATGCGTGCAGCCCACTGACTCCCACGCCCCTCGTGCCATGGGGCTTCTCCAGGGTATACAAGGGGTTTATACCCAGGCTCTGAGGTTGCTCTGAGGTGGAAAAGTGCAGAGTTTGGTCTCTCCTACTTCTGCCCACTGCTCTGTGTTCATCACACACATGTGGGATGGCTCTGCTGCCACCTCTCCCAGGGGTTCACCCACACACAGCTTGGCATGTACTCTCCGAGACAGAGGAGAGGATGGAGGAGCAGAGGGAGGTGAGAGGAGGGGAGGTTGAGAAGTTTTCCCATTTGGAAAATGATTTTAAAGCTAAAAAATGGAAAACTAAAATCCCTGCACTGGGAAACCCCTTGGAGGATATCAGAAAATGAGGCTGAGTGGTTTCTTTGGATCCTGTGGAATTTAACACAGATTTGTCATCTAGCTGTCAAACCCACTAGAAATGTCTCACTCTCTATTAATAGTTTCATAGATTTTAGACATTTTTCAGCTCAAAAGACCATTCTGTTCGTCTCTTCTTGCATAAAGTGGTTTATTCCTGTATTAAGCCCATCCAGCCTGGCCAAACAGAAGGTTATCTTTCCAAAGGATCTCCACTGAGATTTAAACACTTCCAGACAGAGAGAATCCATCATGTACTTGGTGAATTCTTGCAGAGGCTAATTGCTCTCACAATTAACTGTGTCTTTCTGAGCACACCAAGCCTTCCAGCCGCTGCCTGTGATCCTGCAAGCAGGGATTCAGTCAGGTTAAAGAGATCTTAATCAAGAGGTTCCCCATCTAGGGACTTGTTCACTTTGGCAGCTTTTAGTCTGTGGTCTGCTGACCCGTGGGACTCTTCTCAAAGGGTAACAACAAGGAACCTGGGAACAGCTGGCACGTCAGGAAGCTTCAATCAATTGTACACGGGTCACCACCAGCAAAATAGCAAAGGTCCTCTGAAGAGAAAGAGCAGAAACTGTTGATTTGTGGGTCTTTGGAGAATTAGAATCGGGATGCAGTTGTTGCAGTGTCTGCACAACATGTGTGGCAAGGTGTGGGAGCAGTGGAGAGCTGCTGGTGGAGGGGGCACGGTGCTGGAGTGTTCCTCCTTGCTGTTTTCCAGAGACTCAGATGCAGAGCGTTGTGCCAAAGCTCATAACTAAGGAGGGGGCACGGTGCTGGAGTGTTCCTCCTTGCTGTTTTCCAGAGACTCAGATGCAGAGCGTTGTGCCAAAGCTCATAACTAAGAGCCAATAAACCCTTCCCCTTGCTGCCATGGCTTCTCTGTGGGGCTTGTTACAGCTGCATCCCAAGAAGCTGATTTAGAAGCGTTATTGGGACTGGGACGTTTTTATGAGGTGCTGCTTTCATGCTCCACTGCTTGGAAAGCCCAAGCTGCCTTAATTAAAGACCTGGAGGGATACAGCTACAGCTCCTGGGCTAACCAGGGATACTCTGCAGCACCCGTGACCTGGCTCCCAAAGGGAGATGAATGCTGGTCCAGGACCCACTGTGTGCCCAGCCCTGCCCTGAGGGGCCCAAGGACTTGCAGAGGGGAAGAAGAACACATTTGTAGTGCAGGAATATTTTTCAGGCCTCATCTTCTCAAAGCCCCTGGAGCATTGTGCTGGTTCTCCCTGGGGATAATCTGTCATGAGACAAATCTCCCTCCTGCACTGGCCTGTACTGCACAGCAATTGTCCTTGGAGACTAAGTAGTTTGGAAGTATAACTCCAACAGAAGTGAGACCCAGCAGTAAATGAATGCAGCTATGGGCTGGAGTGGAACTGCTCAGCCTTTTGATTTGATGTAGCAGCTATATTTTCTCCAAATTAAAACATATTCCACTGTCTGCTGTACCTCTATCTGTTCTGCCAGTGGAACGCTCTGATTCATAAAAATCTGGGCATGGTCTGTGCTTAACACATAATAACTAAATCTGTTAATTTAGTTAAATTTCTTGAGACAAGCAGTCTGGGCAGACATGTTCAATGAACAGCTGATGACAGAAATTTGTATTTTTCAAAAAGAGCAGCAAACTTAATCTGTCCTTTCTGATGGAGAACTTCACAAATTGCACAATCTCCAAATGCTCTTTAATTATTAACCCTAATTACTGGAGCTAGTTACATACAAATTTGCATTTGCAACTGGGAGAGCAGGAAATCCAGATATTTAAATAAGTATATAGATCTGTCAATTTTATTAGCCCTTCTCCCTGCCAAAAAGAATCTGTGTGATCTGAAAGGCAGGAACTCTAAGAGGCCTCACATATGTGATGTACCCTGGTTTCTAACTACCAAGCAGGCATGAGCTGCAGAGCTTGAACTCAGTAATGAAGCATCTTCTTTTAGTTTATTAAGAGCAGGTTAGAGGTGATGTGATAATGGTCTGGAAGTTCCTACGTCCAGGAGCAGCTTCTGAGAGGCTCTTTAATCTCTCAGACAAGAGCATTGCGAGACTGAGGAGTCAGCCAGGAAAAAGGTTACAGGTATGGCATGCAATATGAGTTTAATTATCCAGAGGAACAGTTCCCCAAGGGTGATGTGTGCTGCTTTCAACCAGGATTATTTTGGAAAAGTGACGCAGAACCAGCGTTGGGATCCTGCAGGATCCTGCCCCGGGAAGCAGCTCCCTCTGCTTGCCCCCAGAGAGCCATCAGGGCAGAGCAGCACCATTTATCTGGGAGCTCATCTCAATTCCCAGGCTTCCAGGTGGGATTGGCACGTTGCATATTTGCCCCAGGGTTTTGGACAATGGCTTTATTTTCAGCTCGGCCGGCTTGATGTGTGGTTCACAACAGTTCCTGGGAATTTATGATAGCCTGGGAAGAGCTGGTGAGTCAGGAGGCAGCCAGTCATTAATTCCCAGTAATGCCTCAGACTGAGTTCATTACCGTTATCAGAAGATGAAATGATGTGAAAAGTAGATTTATTTATTTTTCTGAGGCTGATGCAGTTTGCTCTTGGAAGACACTGTGCTCTGGGGAGAAGCAGTGCCAGTGCATTGGCAAGCGAGGAGCCCGAATCCTCTTGCAGCAGTTTGTTCAACGCAGAAATGTTTGCTGTGTGTTTGAAACAAGAGGTTGTATCAAGGTCACTCCACCGAGATTCAGCTTTGCAATCTCTGTGAAAGGAGAGCTCTTGCTCTCTCTGTCCTCGGAGATCTTTTTTTTACTCCCCTCCACACGAAAAGGGCAGGTCTCACAAGCTCTTGCAGGAAGAATAAAAGGTTTTCAGAATGGGCGCTCTTTACAAAGTGTCCTGCTAAAAAAGACTGCTCTCAATCAGAAACTGTATCTGTCCCAGAAACTACCTCTGTCTTTCTCACACCCTCCCTCTGGGTCCAGCCCTCTGCTTCTCTGCCAGCAGGGCAGTTTGGTGGTTGCAGGTCTGTGTCTGTTCTTCCTACACCAGACCCTCAGGGGGGGCTGAGGAGGAAATGGAGAACTACCCATTTGAAAAGCATTTAACAGCTAACATTAAACTTAATCTGGCAGTTGCCAGGAACCTCCAGGAGCTGTCCTCACTGAGTGCTTCCCTTCTCTTTTTTAAGTCACATGGATGGGGAGACCAGCATCATGTCCCAGTGTCCTCCCAACCCATGCAGGACTGGCAACACCATTTAATTCCTCTGCTGTATGTGCTGTCCCACTGGGCTCAGGAGGTCAATCTTGGGTTGAATTTCATTCCATTCCAGAAACCTAATGCAGGCAGAGTGTGTCATGGCCACCCTCCTGTTCCCAGTTAGTGCTCTGTTGATGCCACAAACAGGGAAGCAGCCCAGGATGGACTGAGCCCTGGAGGGCAGTGGTGTCTTTCTCACAGGGATGGGGAACCTGGATTAATTCAAACCCTGCCAGCACTGAAGGAGACACAAAAGCACCCATCCAGGCTGGAGGCTGAGCAAATAGAGACACTGATTGCTGGAAAGTTTTATGAGGATAATAAACAACATCATAATAAATGGCCATGAATATTTCATGGCGGGTGTAGTGCTGATATGATGTACCATAGAGGAGTGCTGGGGTTTTTCAACATTCGGATGCAAATGGGGAATGTGTTCTATATTTTGCAGGTTTCTCCCCAGACGCGCTATGTTTTCCAAAAATCAGATTGACTGGGAGCGTTTGATATGAGAAACAACTTGAGGGCTGTGTTTAGAGCCAAAGAAAAGCACAGGCAGTATCAGAGGATTGTCGGAGCTGAAGAGGAAAAAATCCCACGCAGATCAAGCAGCCCATTTCCCTAAATGCTGGGGGAAGGTAGGTGGGAGTTACCAAAGGGAAATCATGCACTGTGCTATCCTTGGAGCTGGGATAACAGCAGCCCCTCAGCCCTAAGGACAGCACAGTCACTGGTACTCAGGAGAGGAGATCAAAGTTAGGGGCCAAGTCCTCCTTCCTCACTTACTGCTTGGGGGCAGATGTTTGAGCTTGCCTGGGGCAGCCAGCAAAGGAATACGCTTTCTGGAGGGGACCAGAGTTTTTGAGTTTCACCCAAGCTTGCTTAGTAGGTTTTCTTTGGCAGAGCCCTTTGTTCAAAGGCATCATCTGGCAAGACACCTGATGCCTTCATTCAAACAGGTTCTTCTGCAGGGACTCTTGGGCCCTCTCCTCCTTGCTGGTGCCAAGGGTGCTGGGCAAGACCTGCTGTGTGCCAGGAGCTGCACATGCAGGAGTTGGTCCTGCACATTTTCATACAGCCAGAGGAAACTGGGTTTCTTGGGCTTTGTTTGCTGCTCTCTACTGGCACATGCTTCTGCATGAGCATGGCTCAGGGCACAAGTTGGCTGATACACAGTCCCTTCTTAGGTGAGCATCTGTATGCTCACACACAGGAACACACACAGGTGAGCTCAGGCAAGTGCTTACAGCTGCCAAGTATCAGTCTGTGCCTGGGTGTACCAGTCTGTGCCTGGGTATACCAGTGGGAGGGCTGAGAGCCTCCCATTTTCTTCCTGCAGCTCTCTCTAGCCTTTGCTCATACCCACTGAGAAACACTGGCCTGCTGCTCTTCACAAACACCTTTTGCCTACTCGTCCTGTCTCCCTCTCTTTTAATTAATCCTGCCAGGTCCCCAGACAGCTCTCTAAATGCAATACACATTGCATATTCACAGGCTGGGATGTTGGAGGGACAGTTTCTAACAAGCCACCTGCCTGCTGTCCTGTTTGGCACAGGTGGCAAAGCCAGGGTTTGAAAGGGGAGGCAGGACAAGAGCAGAGCAGCCTTTGCAGGCACCTGGCTGGGCAGAGGAAGAAGGTCTGGAGCCCAAGGACACAGACTGCAGGTGTAGGCTCTGCTTCATCAGTCATGGGGTAAGCTTGGCTGTTTTTAACCCATTGCTACTTCTCTCTCTGCTTCTCTTTTCCCATTTCTAAGGCAGGGCGAGGAGCACACTCATTCCCTGAGCATTGTGAGGAGAACCTGCAGATATGAACCTTGAGACAGTAGGATACAACAAATTACTAGCTACTGCCAGTTCCAAAGCTGCTTTGTCAGCCAGCACAGGCTGAGAAGCATCCCTCCTGCCTCCTCTGCCTGTGGGGAGCCCCTCATTCTTCTGGGGATTCAGTGCAGACACCCCACCAGGGACTATTTCTCCTCTGCTTTGCAAGCTGTCGGTGAACCCACAGCATTTTCTTTGGATTTCTCACTTAGTTCCTCCTCGTGGTGCTGCTGAACTGGTGGCACCAGTGATGCTTACCCTGGATCCTTGTTCCCAAAATGGTTGCTCCAAGTTTTTGCTGTACTGTATTGCTGGGCTTGGATGACCCAGGACCTTGTTACTTACAGCCGTTCCAGGGGCTTGCTCCAGCTTCCCAAGCCCTGCAACCAAGATCACTCCCAACCACCCCGGTCAGGACCCAGCAGCCACACACAGATGTGGAAGCTGATCATGAGAGAACTTCTGCAGAGCCCTGTTTTCACCAGCACACGGGTGAGTAAACAGGTCCCAGCCCCCCTATGCAGAGCAAACCTTTGCTGACGTGTTTGGCCAGCTGGCATCTCAGTTGAGCTGGGCCCATCAAATGGAAAGTGCCTTTTCAGAAATGAAAAAAAAAAAAAAAAGGAAAAAATAGGAAAAAAAAATAGAAAAAAATGCACTTGCTTTTAAAGTCTGCACCCGAGTGATGCTGTGAGCTAGTTTTCCCCAAAATGGGTGTTGTCAGTTGATGAAAACTTTTCCATTAAGATGTTAAGCTCACTTACTGGATCAGAAGTATTTCTTCTTGGAGAGTGCTGATAAGATTGTGCCCTGATCAGCCAAAATGGGGCTGATTTGAATGTGCTTTACTACAAAGCAGTCATTACATTTCTCTTTAGGATTCCAACGAACATTTCCTCCATATTTCAGCTGCGCTGAACTGGCTTTGCAAGGACCCCTCCAGGCATTTGCTTAGGAACTGGTGAAATTACCCTGCCTAATGGCCTCCAGAAGCTGAGTTACCCAGGCGTAAACTGTGCCGCGGAGATCCCAGGAGCTGGGGGAAGCAAACGGCACGTTGGTTTCTGTGCCGGTCTCAAGGTAGCAGCTGAAGCATAAACCGGGGGTGGAAAAGGGCTTGATACGCTCACACGCTCTCTGTTGTTTTGTTTCGGGCTCTTTTTGTCCCTTAATTTGTCGCTGCTTACCCTGGAGAAAGTGTGGATGGGAGAAACAGCATTTGCCCGTTTGTTCCATCTGCTCTGCTGACCCCTCGGGTCAGGAGGGCTGGGGCTGCCACCAGCAAGTCCCATCCTGAGTGACCAAGGGCAGTGGCTGGGGACCAGCAGCGTGTGCAAGTGTGGAAAACCCTGCTGCCAGCTCTTTGAGTGCAGCGCCCTGCAGCAGAAGAGCCTCAGGCTTCTTGCTTGCTACAGACAGGAGCGAACAGGCATTGCAGGCAGGAAGGATGAACCCCAGTTAAGTGCTCTGTGCGGTGTCTCCTTGTGTGAAAACTGGTGGGATTGAATCCACAAATGCCTGTCAGCAGGACAGACAGTTTTTGGCTGTGGCTCTCCTCCTCCAAGCCCCTGCAGCAGGGTGAGCTTTCTTTGGGGTGAGTACATGCTCAAGTTTCCTATGCCGAGGTTGAGTTCAGCTGCCATGAAGTGTAATGATGATGACAGCTCCAGAATAGCTGGCGGAGCTCCACATAGTATTATCTACAAAATTTGAATCGAATCAGACAAAGGATTTCTCAATTAAATTCCCCCAAGTACTGAGTGATAGTTAGGAGGCTCATGGGAGTACTCACATGTTCTGGTTTGCCACTTGGAAACACAATGGGGAAGAGAAACAGGTAACCAACAGTCAGCAACTGGCTGCAAAGCAGCTACAGAGAAATCACCACTGTAAATGTCGAGGTCCAGCACTGATGCCACTCCCTCCACCTTCATGGGGCTTCTCTCATTGCCTCCTGAGCACCCAGCCTAGGGGCTCTTGGCTCTGCAGGGGCTTTTTGGACCCATTGAGAGCTCCAGGACATTAAATGTGAATTAAGGATATTACGAATATCCACAGCTTCACGTCTGAGGGCTTCTTGATGTAAGGTGTCTGCACTGGAAGGTCTGGGGTCCCCTCCTGTTTGACCTGGTGCTCCTGCTGGGGCACAGCAGGGATCCTCTGGGGAACCTGCAGTGATTTAATCCCTCCCACGATGATGTAACGTGGGCTCAGAGGGTGACACCTCTCCCACACAGGTTGGGGACAAGGTGCAGAAGAGGCAGGTTATGGGTGGAGGAAGAGGGACGGTTTTCAGGGAGTGCTTTGCCCCTCCCTGGGGGGAATGTGGGTGCCACAATTCCTCTTGGCTGGTGGCTCTGCAGCCCCTCCCCTGCAGGGTGTTGGGCAATGTCAGTGCTCTTGGGGAGGAGGTGTGTAGTCTCACTGCTGAGGGCTTTTTTATTTTTCAATCTGTCAGGTACCTGAGTAGATTTGGCAAGTGCTATCACACTTGGGAGAGGAGGAAGCGTGATAAAGTGTCATTAGAACAAGGTCTGGCTGATTGGGAACTCCATCACCCAACATATGTATCTTGCCGCTGCATTGGTTTACTCAAATAACCCTGAGTTATTGCAGACCTCTGAGATTTACTCTCCTTATGTTCACTGTGACTATCTGTGAAAGCAGGCATTTTTTTACTTGTCCTGTTGTTAAGCTCTAATGAAGTGCTTCTCTTCTAAAAAGCATTTTAAGATAAAATAACAAGCAGAAAAACAACCACCAGTTTGGAGCCTTATGAAGCTGTTTACACTTCTGGGCCCTTCTTCCTTCTCTCTCATCCCATTTCTTCTGCTTCCCTTGCAGGTTCTGGCCCTGAGCTGGTAAATCACATTCGAGCCTGTGCCTCACTCTGCACATAATCAGTGGTGTGATCCTGTGGAATAAATGTGTGTATGATGGGAATGCCTTTAGCAAAGCACACTCCTGTTCCCCCCCACCCCACCATGTAACCTCCCAGCCTCACAAGCACTCAGCTCATAGGTTTATTATTTATCCTGGTGAACTGTATTGAAGCCTGAGCACCTGGCTTCCTGCATGGCCCTGAATTACTGCACCAAATCCCTGCGTAAGGACCTGAGTTTCAGCACTGACTGATATGAATAGGTCTGCCTGCAGCTAAAAATAGAAAGCACGGGGCAGGCTTCCAGGCAGAGCTGTAGTAACTTCTAATATAAGGTGGCTCAGCAGCAGTTCCTATGGCAAAGCCTCCTCCCATGCAGTGGGGAAGGCTGTAGGATGTGCTCAAGCCAGTATTGGACAACAGAGTTTCCCTGTGGGAACCAACCTGTGAGGTGCAAAGGCAGTTTTAAAGTTTTCTTCTTCCTAGTGTGGGGCTGTCTCCTGCTCTGTAGGAACCACTCCTTGGCTCCGTGCCTCAGTTTCCCCTCTGAAAGGAGTTCTGGTTGCTGTGGGGGATGCATTTGATCTGCACAGTTTTCTTGCCCTCTCTGCAACAGGAGAGGCTGCAGCACTGGGGAGGACCTGCAGTCCCCAGCCTGCTCCCCTGTGAGCCTGTTCTGCTCTCCCTCTTCCCCCTGAGCTCTTAGACAGAATGTTTGCTCCTTCTCTCACTGCCCAGCAGAAAGAGGCACTTTCCCAGCACCCCTGATATGCTGCCCAGGTAGTGCTCTCTGGCCTTGCTGGCAGAGAGGTGTTTCCTCCCTCGCAGGACCAGATGTGTCTGTTGGAACTCTGTAAACCTCCCTCATCACGGGGAAGTTATTTCTCCCTTCATTAGGGTTTATCTGCTGTGAAAACCTGCTCCCCCTCCCGGACTCCCCCAGAGTCCTGATGCCATCAGTCATGACAATGGCTCATCCCAGCCGTGCTCATCGCAGCGAGAGGCTCATTGTCCCCGTGCTGGGCCATATGGCCTCCTGCCTTAATGCTGCCCCACACACAGGCTTCTGCTCGAGGAGCAGCTGTGGAAAGGCTTAGTGGATCTCCCCAGGGTCAGCCAAGTGTAACATCCATGAGGAAAAGCACTAGACCACTGTGTGGCAAGAGGAGGCAGCAGGAGTGCGGGGCTGGCTCTCTGGAGCATCCTCCGGCGCTGTCACCGTCCTCCTCCTCACCCAGGAGCAACAGTGCAGAAATGCAGCTGCCCCCGGGGTGGAGGGCAGCAGCAGGACAGCATCACAGGGCTCAGGGAGAGCTTAGGGAGGTCTTGGCTCCTGCTGGGCTCAGCTGTGTGTCTGGGACAAAATTAACGTGCTGTGATCTTTTCATCCTCGGCAGAACTCTGCTCCTGCATCCACCCGAGTGACCTCGGGCTGTGGGGATTGGCTCCCTGGGAGCTGAAGGCAGCTGTCAGGTGGAAGATTTCTTGGGCTTGTTGCACTGACCACAGGGCTGGGACCTTCACCTGCGAGGGTTCTTAGCTCCTGTATCGGCATGAGGATGAGTGTGAGTGCTGTGGATGGAGGAAGGAGCAGACTCTGCTCCCTGGGGTGTGTGACTTTGGAGAGGAAGGAAGGCAAATGTGTGCCCCTGGTTGGTTTATTCCGACTTCCTCAGCTGGGAATTGGGCTGCTGGTGCAATGTGCACACTGGTGTCTCCCCAGGCACCCCTTTGGCATCCTGTTGGGCCCCCCTTGGCTTGGTGGTGCTGCAGGAGGCTGCCCTGGTCTCTCTGAGAGTCATCCTGCCACCTCCCTGGGAAAGAGGCAGGAAAATAGGGTGAGGTTAACCTTTATTACAAGGCAGAGCTCAGCAGGAACAAACAGTGCAGCTTTTGGGCAAATAGGTTGCACAGGACTGTCTGTCATCACTTTCTTGTTCTGCTCTCTCCCTCCTCAATTGAACTTTGTCTGCTTGTAGCAAGGAGCTTGTCTCTAGGGCTTTTCAGGTGGTGAAGTTGCTGGGTCAGGGGTGGTTGTAGCTCTTGCATCAGCCTGTGTTGTGGAAGTGAGCAGCCCCTGAGTGCTGTGGGTGCTGGGGGGCATGTGGGAGGAGGAAAGGGCTACCAGAGGGTGCAGAGACTAGAGATTAGAGGTGTGCTGTGGGTAAAGACAGCTCTTTACTTGGGATGGGGGCCCTCCATACCTTTGCACTCCTCTTCCCCTGGTATCTGTTTTCTCCTCAGCGACCTTATGGGGAGACCCAGGATTGTTGCTTTCCCAGTGCAAACAGAGGCCTGGCTGGGTAAGTACAAAATCGTCCTGTAGGAAGGAGGATGGTGTGCTCGTGGTCCATCAGTTGATGCTGTCTCTGTCACAAGGCAGGATGGAGATGTGCTTGTGGCTGCCCATGAGCCCTGGACACTCCCAGCTCCATCCCCAGAGCCCCTCCCGGGGGGAATGTCTGACAGGTAAGAGCAGAGCCCAGCCCTGGCAGGATGGACCTGCCCAAATCACTGCCTGGAAGGTTTGGCAGTGTCCATAGGGTGTGTCTGGATGCTGCTGGAGATCGGGAATGCTGTAGAATGAACCGTCCTTGGTTTGCTGTGATAATGGCTGCAGGACTGTGGTATGTTGGATGCACTCCTTGAGTTAACTGAACTTTGGGCCAAGCAGGTGCTCAGCAACTCACCCTGATCAACATTAATCCTGCTGTGCGTGGCTACCAGTGAGAACTGAGCACCAACCCCAGAAAAGCACAGTTTGGCTGGAGTCTGGGCTGACAAGAGGCTGAGAGATCCCTTACCTGGCACCAGACATCCATGGGTTGCTAGCTGACATTTTTTGCATACATGTAACATTTAAGATATGTCTAATAACCTTTGCATCCCCTACTAACTTTAAGTGAGTAAATGGTAGGGTACTGACAGCCAATTCATCTGTACATATTAAATATTAAATATTTTACATACCTAAATCTGCTGACTAGAACTCAGTAAACTAAATACCAACTGAGATCCACCTGAGTGATCTTTCTGACTTTTCTCCTGCGACAAAATAGGTACAGTCAGTAGGATGGCAGATTCAATTACTTACTAGTTATGGAGGCATGGAATTAGACCTTCTCCAAGACTTCCTGAGGATTGAATGTTCAAAAATTTGTGTAATCGGAGTAAGATAGAGGAACACTTAAGCTTTGAGAGAGGGAAACTGAAATATGGCAAAGAAAAGGGAATAATATGCAAGATGTTGTAAATGTGTTTGGAAGCAGCGTGTCATTGTAAGGAATACAAAGAAAAGGAAATGAGATTGTTACAAGATGAGGTTGAACAAAGAAAGCAACAAGAAATGCTGTTATTTCTGTGAACAGATCAATTGCAGAAACAACTGTTGGGGGGGTGGAAGAAAAAGTGAAAAAGAGTAGAGAACAAGCTAGAACTTATGATAACTTGGGTCCCCAATCCCCCCCACTCCACAAAGATCCATTAACTGCATCCCCAGAAGATTGGGATGGAGATATATGGGGGGACCCTGACCAAGAATTTGGGGATGAGAGCAGTGAAGAGGGTGAGTTAGATGAACTGTAGTTTAAGGTGGCCCTTACTACTAAAACTGAAGTGTCCATTGGGCCCCAAGGGGGTAACCAAAGAAAGCTAAACTTTGTGTTAATGTTGTTTTAATGCTCTAGTCACTCACTAGAAGGGGTAACCAGTTTGGAGTCTCCCTGCTAAGACTTATTTCACTTTCCAGGAACCAAACTGGGGATACCAAAACACAAAAAACAAACAGCATCAAAACACCTCCCCTGGAGACGAGGTCAAAAAACCTCTGGATGAATACTTATTTTTCTTGCAGAAATATTCATCTCCAACATGAACCAGATCTAGTTTATACATCAACAAGCCTGATGCATGGGGTGGAGACCTGCAGGTCTTTTATTTGTACAAATCAATATGGTAATGGTTGTAATCACGTTTAAGCCTGAGTGCATTACAATCACTAACAAAGCAAGCTATAATAGTACAAATTTGGGAATCCACCCATTAACACGAATTTGGCAGAGGGAAATGCAGTCATAATATGTGAAAGACAATCCCCAAACAATACAGGGGAAATTTACTTACTTAGTTTTCAATATAGTTCCTTTGAAAAGGGGTCTAGATCTAACTGGGCTGATAGCTGTTCAATGAGTGTTACATTAGAAGAACATACGGATAGAGAAATAGGAGGCACTTGGAGATATAATTTATCTATTTATCCTGGAGATAAATAATTGAATTGAAACTAGGATGGTTTATATTTTACAGCAAAAACTACCATAACCTCCACAATGCATCTCAGACCCCCAGTAAGGCTGTTGAAACGTTATCCCCCCCAGATTTCTGAAGCTGGGCCCTATGCTATTAAATATACAGGCCAGCAACAAACACTACTTAATCCATGACTGCAGGTTAATATCTCTGCATTCAAACCTACCTGCTTACCCTTCCCAAACACATCTCTACAGGGCTGTTCACAAGGTTGCCTGGGTGAACCCTCACATCCCCGAAACGAGTGAGGAGAGATGTGACTGGCATCCTGGGAACAGGATTAGGAGTATTAAACAGCATGGATGCTGAAGTTTTGGCAAATAAATTCTGCTTGGCAACAAGGGATTTGTATAAACAAGAACACCCGTTAACAATCTTCTTTGTTGGCATTAGGAACCAGTTAGTGGCTCTTAGATGATATATTATCTAAATGGCAAAGAATCAGTGAAAAGGGCCCCCACCTAATTGCAGAAGCGCTTGGCATCGCCCAGAATAATGTTTCCATAGCTTTTAGCTGTATCCAAGCTCAGTTATGGGTGCAACCCACTACAGCAATAGTTACAAGGGAAGGTGGTGAGGGCACCTTACCTGCTGAGATTCAAAAGGGAATTTGGGAAACTGTGACTTAATTAAAAAAATATTTCCAATCTTGGTGGTATCCAGTAAACCTCACTTATGACCCCACCGGCAGCAAAGCCACAGCTTTTGTTTTAGCCATATGCAATGCTTAACAGCTGGACTTGATGATCTCAGAGATCTTTCCCAACCTAAATGATTCTGTTTACTCAGGCACTGAGCTGGGATCGAATCACCGTGGAACTGTACTCCATCCTTTAGAACACCGAGTATGGGCCCAGCAAAATGGGAACAAATGGCAAACTGTCACTGCTGACACATGTGCTGCGTGGAAACAACAAGGATTTATTTGTGAATGTAATACTGTTGAGACCCAAGACATTTGTCTTGACACCGAACAAAATGTTTGTCATTTTGAAATACATCCCAGTGAGACCTCTGAGACTGTACTTGTGTGTGTTGGGACTGGATGTGTTTGCATGAGAGTCCTTTGTGATTCTCTATTTATAGACATCACCACTGTATATATACACAACCCCTCAAACATAAGTATTTGTTATTTCACTAAAATTATGAGATGCAACTTTAACTACTGAGCTCCTTTCATAACCCACTGTGTCCCAGACAGAGTGAAAAAAGATGAAAAATATCACTGTGAGAAAATCTGCTTGGATAGTCACCAACAGCATCTGGAGCTTTGAATTTGATGTTACACCTAATTGTAGCCTTGTTAATCATTGTAGTTTTGTGTTCATTGTTCTACCTTTGTTTATATGTCACATTACAGTGCTTATATCAGTGTATAATAGCTATGAGTGAACATGTGGGTACTAAAGGATCAGCAGATCTGACATTATCTTATTTACCAGCCTATTACCTACTCAATAAATTAACTTCTAGCTCAGATCTGCCTGAGTGATCTCTGACTCTTTTCCAGCAACACTGTGGTTGACAAGCAATGAGTTGAAGGTGCACTGTGAGATTTTAAATCATCTTTTCTCCTGTTCTGCTCCATTTTTTTTTCCTTGCTGAGATCCTGTATCCTCTGTTGGTTCATCTCACATTCCAGCTTGCCCATGAGTGGGATGGGGTGGATTTGTGTTCCGGGTCAGTGTTAGTTCCCCAGCCCCATCCATCTGTGAGGGGACACTAAGAGGTTTCCAGCACTAAACCAGTGCAGGATCTGGCATTACACTCATTCTGCCTGGTGTCTTCAAGGGCTGGAATGGGTGGAATAGGAGGAATGGGCTGTGAGAGGGAAAGATACTTCCAGATGTGATGGAGGTGGTTGCTGTGGTTACTCTGGCTTGCAGCTGGGTTAGGATTTTGTGCTGGTGATGCAGAGGACAAAAAACAGCCCAAATCCACCTGGGTGTCCCATCCCCACCCGGAGGTGGCCCAGGCAGACTGGGCATGCTGCAGGAGGTGCTGCATCTATGTGTCTATATCCAAACTTCCAGGAACTCTTTACAGAAGAACAAACCTGATCCCAGTAAAATTAACAGATTTTGAGTCCCCCAGTCCTTTCTGGTGTCTTTGCAGACTTCTGCCTGTATGGTCAGTTCAAAGAAGAGCTGCTATACTGGGGCTTAAAGGTGGCATCTAAGAGATGGTCATGAAGTGCCTGGGGAGGAAACCAGGCTTTAAACAGCTGCAAAGATGACCAAGGGCTGGGAGCCGAGCCCTGCTCCCTGTGTGTGTAGATCAGCACTGAATTAGACAGGGCATTGGCTTGTTTGCCTCTCTGAGCTGACGATACCAGATGGCTCCTTGGCCCACTGCATCATCTGGAGGAAAACAGCTGAACAAATGGAGATGTGCAGGTGATCGGCAGTTCAGGGACTTGTTTTCTGTCTTGTGGTTTTTGGCAGTTTTTTTTATTTTGTTTTTCGCTGCTGAGCTCTGAGGAGATTTGGATGTTTGACTCTCCCCAGGCTGCTGGCCTTGGCGAGGAGGCTTTAGCTTCTCAGCACTCAATAAGGGAACTGTGAGAGTGCGAGTGTTTCAGGCTGCCTGGATGCAGAGCTGATTTATTGCTCAATAGAGGCCATTGAGGAGCTGGAAATTGGATGTGATTTGTACTCAGGGCCAGTGCTGGCTTGCTGGGATGGATTCTGTTCAAGGCATCACCAGTGAGTGCAGCCTTCTCCCCCCTTCCCTTCCAGAGTGAGGGGTTTTACACAGCGATCTCCTCCTCCGCCTCCCCTCTCCTCCCCCTCCCCATGCCCGTCCAGCAGTGGGATCCCCACTGCAGATCCCCACATTTTCTTTCCCCTGCCCACACAGGATTAGCCAGCCCAGATATAATCTCTTCATCCCTTCTGAACTGCTGAGAAATCCTGTGCCAGCTGTTTTTCAGAAAAAAAAAAAAAAAAAAAAAGGCAGCTCTTTGCTAATTCACAAAAGTTGGAGGGGGGTGAGGGGAATGTGGGGTGTGGAGAAACTAGGGAGAATAATTGGGCACTTCCCGACATCCTCGATGGCAGCTCTTAAGCAATTACGGGGACTCAGCAACACCCTTATCACAGCACGTTCTGGGAGATTAACCGGCTGCTCAGCTGGCAATTAGAGCCGGGTAAATGAGAAGCTGCCACTTAGCTTTGACTTTGTAGCGGCTGTTTTCCCTTCTCCAAGTCAGGCTCCAGGCACTGAAAGGAGGGGTGCGAGTATCTGTGGGGAGGATTAATCGTGAGCTGCCTTTCCCGTGCTGGGAGAGAGGCTCGTGGACAGGGTGGCTGGAAGGGGATAAAAGCTGTGCTCTGTGTTCTTTTTCAGTGCCTCCCTGCTTTTTCTGTCAACCTGGAAAGCAAGGGCTGGCGGCTCCTGGTCCCGTGTTTCGTTCTGCTCTAACTTTCCCTCCATCTTTGGAAAACTTTGCTTGCTGATGGCATCTGTGAAAGCACCAGTGCTGTGTGCTTGTGTGCCGGCTTCATTTGCACAGAAAAAACGCTCAGCTGAGACACAGGTTTGACTTTCTGTCTGGGCCACGGACCTCCTGTGAGATTCTGCTCAGGTCAGTAGGGTGCACTTTGTGGTTTCTTTGCTCCTGAGGAGGCTTATGATATTCCTGCATCTCGTGCTGTGGTGCATCAGGGGACCTGAATGATGAAAAAATGATAAAAAGTCCTTTAGCCTCAGTTGCTTTGATGACTGCTGGTGTATTGCTTTCAGTGTAGACATGCTGGTAGAGGGTGGCAAGCCCTCATCTCTGGCCTCCACAGAGCTCTGTGGGGTTTAGCACTGCACTAAAGCAGTACAGAGACTCTCGCCCTGCTCCTTTGGTGGGGTTGAGAGTCTCAAATAATGTCCATGTAGGGAAAATGCTGGAGTAAAGAGGCAAAGACAAGTTCCTGCTGGTCTGCTTCAGCCCTGGTTGCATCCCACAAGGATGCAGAGGCGTGGCACGGCCCGGGTTGATGAGCCTGTGCTGCCAGCACAGTGCCTTGCAGATGGAACAGCTGCCCTGGTCCCACGAAATGGGTCCCCTGCTCATGGAGAAAACAACGTGTCCAGCTGCTTTTCCTTGGCTCCAAACCACCCCATGTAAAGGGCTCTGGCAGCTGCCAGCCATGGCTGGGTGCTGGCCCCCTGAACGCCCAGGACTCACAGTGGGTGCTACGAGGTGCCTCTATCCCGTGGGCTCAGCGGGAACTGCACACTTGGGAATTAGTTCTGGTTTTTTTTTTTTTCCTTGCTGATTTATCTTTTGAGTTTTCTAGGCCAGCTGTCCTCCTTTATTATCCTCACACTACCTATTTATCTCATCTGCCCCCTCTTCCTCCCGCTCCCCTCCCCCTGGTTGCCTGTCCATTGCTGAGCTCTTGCCCGCCAGCAAAAACAATCCACAGTGGTGGAGCGTGACAGATCCTGCTGGAGACACATCAGGCCCGACAGCCGGGGCCGAGTCAGCAAAGCTGGTCCCTCTTGCTGTCCCCCAGCATCCATCCCACGTGTGGGAGGGAACGTCCAAGGTGCCCCGTGACCGTGAGCACCTCGATCCCTTCTGCCCGAGCTGCTCCTGCTCTGCCAGGACAAACCCTGCCTGGAAGCTGCAGGGAGGAGGGCAGCTGCCATCTCCTCTACCTGTGTGGTGGGCTCAGCCCAGCTCCTTCCCTACCCCTCCTCTCAAGACGTGGCCTTGGTGGTGACGGTACAACCTGTTTGCACAAAACTTTAATAATAGAAAACTGCAGAATAATAATATTCTGCAGTTTTATCTTCTGTTCTGGGCATCATGTTTTCAGAGACACCAGCTGGAGGGGTGAGATTGAGGAGATGAAATTGTTTGTCTGACCCAGAGCGGCTGTGGATCCAAGGCAGAGTCCAGCAGCTGATCATCTGGCTAACCAACCAACCAACCAACCAAAAAAAGAAAAAAAAAAATCAATCCCCTGTAGCTGCAGATGCTATAAACACAACCTTTGCAGCACTCTGCTTTAACTTACCCCTGGCTTCTACTTTTGCTGATCTCCAGCCACTGTGCCCAGCCATGAACTGAACAGCAGGGACCCCTGAGTCAGAGAAGGACAGTGGAAGTGGGTGTAGGGAACCCTGCACCAAAATATCCTGTGTTTAGTTCTGCTCTTATCCCACACACCAGCTCTATCCCACAGCAGAGCTCTCATCTGAAGTCAGAGATGCTGAACAGAAATAGTCTGGTGCTTCAGAGATGTGCTTTCAGAGCCTGGAGAGGAGACTAACCCTTCGTTGCCCACAGCTGTAGGACACAGATGTGGCTCAGCCTGGCCCTTTCCAGACACATGTTGTGCCTGTGTTAGAGCTTTTGGGAAGCTTCAGGCTGGCACGTGTATTGTCTGCCAAGAGAAAACTCAGCACATGGAGGATCTGATCCCAGGGAAGGGCCAGAGGGCTGACTCAGGTAAACCTTGTGCTTTACCAGCTGATTTACAAGCTCCAGCCCTCTGGGGCGAACCTCCAGATGTTCAGAACATCATCAACCCCTCTGGCAAGAGCAGCAGGAACGACATTGAGACTGAACTGAACTTTCCCAGTCACACTGACTCCTTCTTCGTCGTTCTGGCGCTGTCAAACTTTGTCAGGAACCTCCTGACAAGCTTTTGGGGGTAAAAGCAAGAAAAAGCAAGTAGTTAAATTTCTTGTAACTTCTGGAAGCAACAGGAAGGTGGCAGAGCCCTTGATGTCTTGTTCAGCTCAGCAGACAGAGCTGTTCCAAATGGCTCTGACTCAGCACAGCTGGAGCTCTGTATGAGCCACATCTGTGGTATTCAGTGGCCCCTTGATGGAGAGCATAAAGGGCTGTGTGCAGTGTCCCACCTGCCTGGAGTCTTAGAGGAGTAGATGAGGCTTAATCAGCATGAATCCCATTGGAAAAAAAAATAATCAACAAAGCTGTTTGGCAAAGACCTTGCCTGGTGGTGTGAAAATGCAGGTGCCTGCCTTGGATGGGCAGGGAGGGTGGGGGAACTCTTGAAGCATTTGGAGATATGAATTGTCCATCAGTAAAAGGACAGACAAAGCCAAAAAGATCTGAAGGGGAAGTTGACCTCATTCTGCTGTACTTAAATTTGCAGGGCTGCTGGAATTAGAGATTTGCTAACTGTGCTCCTACCTCCCAAACTAGAATTGAATTTGGGGTCTGGAGGTTCCCCTGGGAAAGAGAGCTGGAGAGGGATTTTTGACAAAGAATGACCTTGAGGTGGAGTATAGATGTAGATTAGATATTAGGAAGGAATTCTTTACTGTCAGGGTGGGGAGGCCCTGGCACAGGTTGCCCAGAGAAGCTGTGGCTGCTCCATCCCTGGAAGTGTTCAAGGCCAGGCTGGATGGGCCTTGGAGCAACCTGGATTAATGAAAGGTGTCCCTGCCCATGGCAGGGGGGTTGGAGGTAGAGGAGCTTTATGGTCCCTTCCAACCCAAACAATTCAGTGGTTCTGTAAATCCTTAAGTTAAATGGTTCATTGTAACTGCAGTGAACCATTCCACTGGGCAAACTATCCAGTGCTCCTGTGGAATCTGCTTTTGTCTGGGATGCTACACAGGAAAGGCAAAAGCTCAGGGGGAAAAAAGCCAATGAAAAGTGTCTCATGCAATACAGAAGGCAGGAGCTGGATCTTTGTGTTGATGGAGGAAGGTGCCTCCATCTGTGTTCTCAGGGCCTAGTTCCATCTCCAGAAAGGCTGAGTGCACCAAGGCAGACATCATTTTGCAGGCCCCTTGCACATGATGGGCTGGGGCAACTACTGTTTTTAGGACAGCCAAACTTTTGCAGAGAGAGATGGCAGACTTTATTTTAGCAAGGCACTGCAGAGGCTGTGGGTGACTGCACTGCTTGGTGCTATTGTGCTGGGCTCAGGGTTGGAAGGGGCTGGTAACCTTTTAGAAGGATTAGAGAGAACATGGAAAGGAAAACCCTGAGTTTGGATTAAAGATGTTTTAGAGTCTCTTGTATCAGCAAGCTCTTTTCTCTGGGAGAGATTAGGAGTGCAGCTTCTCTCGACTGTTCTGTTAATCTGGTCTCCATGGAAACAGGATGATGTTAGTGGTGACACACTCCCCTAAATGGCTTCTCAGCAGCCGTGTTAAGGGGAGAGACTGGCTTTAGTTTGTCACCCAAATGTGGTTAGCTCGTCCCCAGTCAGTCCCTGACAGCTGCTGCCGGGGGATTTTTGGCTGCTCGTTCCGTGCTGGTGGAACCTGCCCCAGTGCCCCTGTGCTGCAGGAATTTTTGCTGAAGAGTTCACAGACTCCAGCCTTCACACCTCGCTCGACCAGCCCAGAAAAAGCCCCGTACTTTCACACAATCCTGGTTTTAACTGGTGCTCCCAAACAGGACAGGCTATGGCTGTTCTGCAAACGCCTCCCACCCTCCTGCACCCCCCAGGGTGACCGAGGTACTTCCTGATCATGAGACCAATATTCAGGAGGTCTCTGGGGTCTGTTGCAGTGACCACTCTTGGACTGATAGTGCCTGTGGGCAAGGCACTGAGCAAGAAGTCAGGAAACTTGCCTTGTCTTAAAGCAAATCCAGCCTTGCAACACCCAGCCAACAGTAAACACCGGGGCAGACCCCACACAGCTTTGCTCTGTGCCTGTCTGTACTGGGGACAGAAGAAATGCCTGTCCCAGGGATTTGCCTTGAAATGTCAACTGGAGGTGCTAATGTGGCCATCCAGGCTGAGGGTGAAGCAGTGGGTGGCTTGTAAACGTTCCCTGCATCTTTCTAAATCCCTTTTCATCCTGAGTCACACACAGAAGAGCGTGGGTGAGCGCGAGTAGGCAGAGGGAGAGGGGTGGTAGGGCTGCATGAATTTGGATATGCACATCAGCTATCAAACACAGTGCAAAATTGCTGTGAAAGCAATGAAAAAAAGATAAATTTCATGTCACAGTCTTCAGATGATGAGCTACTGCTGTTACTGCTTTCTGTGTTAGAAGAGTTAAAGTGGGACTTGGTTGTTGAGATTAGCAAGGAGTCTTCTGCACCTCTTATCTCCTCTTCCTAACTCTTCTCTCTTTTTCTCCCCACTGCTCCACAGTTGCATTTCCCAGTGGATCTCAGCCAGTTGTGTGGGACTGCTGCTGCCTCTAGTCCTTTCAGATTAGTCATAGGTTGGCTAAAAAAAGTTGAGCTCAACCCCAAGTCAGACCTCAGAGATTTTCATCCCAGAAGCTCCAGAGAGATCCAAGCTTCCCTTGCAGAGCAGCTCACTGACTTCCTGGGTCCATCTGGAATTGCACTGGAACAAGTGCTGGAGTGTTCCCAGTAAATCTCACTGCTTTTTCAGCCTCTGTGAAAGTTTTCACAGAAAGCATGTCTAGTCCAAACAGCCACTTCAGATTTAATGTGTGAGCAAAGACTTCAATAAATAACCAGCCACAGCAGCGCAGTGTCACTGACACCAAGTAGCCTGTGAAAGAGGGGCCCAGCCCTGGTCTGGCTGTGAGTGAGAGACAGGGCTCTGCACACCTGCCCAGGTGGACCTTTCCCAGCTAGAGAGAGCCCTGTGAAAGGGTCCTGCAGCCTTATGTATCATTTAAAGAGTCATTCTGTTCTGGAAAGCAGGCAGCAGTTCCTGTGTGGACTATACCAGTGGTTGTAAATTGTGCCAGTTTATAAATAAGATGCTTTGCCTTGCCTGCCAGGTCCCAGTGACATCTACAAGGCAAACTGTGATCTCCTTGGCCTGTGAATCATCGCTGATAATGGAGATCCTGCAGGCTGACCCCTGCTTTTGTCAGCTGTACAGCACCAGTTTGTGGATGCACCCAGAGAGAGCTCGCTGGCACTGTGGCAAGAGAAATGATCTCTTCCTTCTGCAGCACAGCCCGGGTGGAATCACCTGGGAGGGATGCTCTTATGGACAGAACAAGGCGGTACAGTTCACCTTTGCTGTCCCTGAAAGGTACTCCTACCTTTTCCAGCCTTTTCCTTCCTCTTCCTTCAGGTTCATGCCTTCTCCTAGCACAACAGCCAGGCGAAGTCTGAGCTTCCTCCCTCGGAACTGGTCGCTGTCTGACCCCTGTGCGATGGTCTTGACCAATAAGGGGAAAATTTTGGCTGATTTTTCGGTCTCAACATCTACTTCTGCTTCTCCCTCTGGAGTATCAGCATTGTGGCCTCCATCTCCTGCTCGATTCAGAACCCAGGTGAGCCTTGGCTTAATCTGAGCATCAGTGTCCTCTCTACTGTGGTAATAAGAGCATCGCCCTTTATCAAAGAGAAGATGGTATCAAAAACTGTGGGGTGCAGTAGTGGACATGGGTAATGAACGTTGGAGGGTGAGAGCATTTGTTGGGAAGAGCACTCAGGTGATCCTGGAGCCGGTGAAGTGTCTTGGGTCCTCTGCCTGCCTCAGTTACATCCGTCTGGAGCAGCTGAGGGTGTGTTATTTCCTCGCTCTGCATCTCCCTTCCAGCCAGGATAACAACACCTTGTGGGGGTGAGAGTGGATGTTCATTGGCATTTGTCATCGGCTCGACTGAAAGCACCCTGGGGAGCCCTATAAATAAGTGAGGGGATGTGATTCAGCAGCCACTGGAGGAGAAGCAGCTGCCACTATGTCCATTTCATGATCACTTCAAAAGCCTGAACTCTTTACTTGGTTTGTGTTCTTGCATTAAATTTGCAAGAGGCCCCTCCACAAGTGGAGCAGGGGAAGGCAGCCTGCTGTGCCTCTGGGAAGGATGGTGTGGAAGGAACCACTGTGGAAACGATGCAGCCCCTGAGACTGATTGCAGGATCCACCACTGCACCCTCGTTCCTTATTGATGTGCACCTGCAACACCTTGTGTTTCTTTCTTCTGTTTGCTGTGGTGGGTTTTCCTGACGTCTGTTATTGCTGGGCAGAGAGAGGCAGTAAAAGAAAATGTTTAGGTCAGGCTTGTGGAGAAGCAGCCAGGTGTCTGGATGTGTTATCAAGGTAGCAGATGCTTTTGCATCCACAAACTCAGTGATGAGACTAATGTGAGACTGAGTGATCCGAGCAAAAAGCACAACTGTGTACACCTCGAGGCTCTGAGCAGCAAAACTGCAGCTTGGATTTAGGTTTAGATTGCCAAGTTCAGCTTTGCTCATTTAATTCACCCGGTGCTTTGGGACATTATTGACAGTCGTGCTTTTGTAAGGCTGTGTGGGCTTGCATCTGCTGAGACCTGCTGAAGTGAAGGTCCTTTTCTGTGTGCACATTGAGGGAAAAAGTGTCTGTGTGTGTAGGAACTTCTGTCTGTTCTCTGTAACATTTGTGTGGTCTGTCCTCTGCTAAAATAACCTTAGTGAAGGCCTTGGCTTTGTCTCTGTTTGGGAGGAGGGATGTCTGTCTGTCCCTTGTGAAGGGTGTAAATGCCCCCACAGTTGGATGGGGTAAAGGGTGCTGAGCAGTTCACCATCTCCCCATTGATGAAGGTGGGAAGATGTTTTGTGGGAAGGGGAATCAGCCCTTCTGCTTTCGAGTCAACAAATCACAAAAAAAAACAGGTAAAAAGAGGAGGAGAAAAAGACAGAATGATGTATTTTTGTGCACTCTCCCTTTCCTTCTTCATTCCTTTGAGCCATTTTTAACCCAAGCTAATTCAGCTGGAAATATTAATAACCCTATAAGGACGCCACCTCCTTGTAATGAAGTGTAAAGGTCACTTCTGCTCAAATCACACAACTCTTTCATTTTGTTCTCTGCTAGGAACAGCTCCTCTCTTTAATTATTCAGTTTGCTTTTATATTGCAGTTGCTGGTCTCTTGTCTCTGATCTCTGACACTTCCCCCATTACACAAGACCCCAGGAGGCTGGGCAGTGTGGCCTGATGGGTCACAGAGGGGACCTGGATGTTGTGAGCAGCAGTCAGGATTTGCCTAGGGGATGAAGGAGAGGCTGGATGTGGAGAAGAAGAGTTGATTCTTGGGTTTCAGAGTTATTTCTTTGATGATGTGAGTCTGCTGGTGTTTCTGCAGGGTGTGGGCATTGGAAAATATGTTAATTTTTTTGTTAAATCCCTATGCATGAGGTGCCACTTGATGTGATGGAAAGAAGTGGGGCTGGAGGGGACCTTTCCTCTGGGATCAGCTGATGGGCGCTGTGGCATGGGAAGTGAACTCTGTCGAGAGACCCTCAGATGAAGCAAAACCTCTCACATCAGATCAAGGTCCTCAGTCCTCAGGTGTCTCTTGGCCCATGGTGTCCACAGCCAGGGAGAACAGAGGGAGAAATCCCAGCTGCATGCTGTGAATGTGAGCACTCCTGGGACAGGCTGTGGGACTCACCAGCACAAAAAAGGGGGATGAATTTAGGGAAAGCCATTCTCTAGGGATCAGTCTGGAGTCACATGCAAGTTCTCCCTGGAGAGATGCCCAAGAGAGGGCTGGGGAACAGGGCTAGCAGGAGCACCCATTGCCCCCAGAGAGGCTTTGGTTTAGCAGGTCCCTTCCCACTCCGTGCTGGCACCCAGAGTGTCTTCCCGGGAAAACTGCAGCATCCAAACCACCTGCTCCCTGCTACTGTCCCATGTGAGAGCAGCCCCCATTGCCCTCCACCCCGGGCCCTTGTTCATGTGTCTGGAGGGTGGGGGGCCCTGGCTGGGGTGGTCATTTCTCCCTACTGGGACCACCAGCCTTTGCTTTCCCAAGGGTGCAGTGGGGACTCCCAGAGCATGGGCAGGGAGTCAAGGGACTGCACAGGAGTCTGTGAGGTCCTGTCGGATCTCCAGGGAAGGGAAGGGGATATTTTCTGTTGGAGCAAACACAGAGAAGGCTGTGAAGATGATGAGAGGGCTGGAGCACCTGTCCTGAGGCTGAGAGAGTTGGGATTGTTCAGCCTGGAGAAGAAAATGCTGCAGGGAGATCTTAGAGCCCCTTCCAGTGCCTAAAGAGCTGGAGAGGGGCTTTGGACAAGGACATTTACAAATGGGACAAGGGGTAATGGCTTTGAACTGACAGAAAGCAGGTTTAGATCAGACCTTAGGAAGAAATTCTCCCCTGGAATGGGGGAGGCCCTGGCACAGGTTGCCCAGAGAAGCTGTGGCTGCTCCATCCCTGGAAGTGTTCAAGGCCAGGCTGGATGGGACTTTGAGCAACCTGGGATAGTGGAAGGTGTCCCTGCCCATAGCAGTGGGGTTGGACTAGATGATCTGTAAGGTCCCTTCCAACCCAAATCATTCTGTGATTCTATGATTTCAGTGGCTGAGATGATTATTGCACTAATTATTACTGTAGCATCCTAAACAATTAATAACCATAATTAATTGTATGGACCCAAGAGAGCAGAAACAACTTTTGTGGTGGCTGTAACCCCTCCCTCCCTCCCTCGAGCACTGCTCACTCCAGAACCTCTCTGCAGTGTTTTATCTCCCTGAATGTTTAAATGACTTGAGCAATTTGGGGTTTCCTCTGTTTCCCCATGGGACTCCTCATTCTCTGTTCTAATTATAACACCACAGCAGCTGTTAATGCCCACAAACAAACACGGGTCCTCTGTAGCTGGAATGAGTTAAGGTTTATATAATCATGTGAAGATTTGAGAGCTGGAAAGCCTTTCACTGTGCACTGCATTAATCATTTAAAAGAAGCCTGACTGATGATTTTTGCATGTGTGTGTGGTTGTTTTCTTTTTCCCCCACTCCCTGTGGAGTCCAGCTGTTGCTGGCTATACTTGGTGCACTCAGCACCAGCCAAGCCATTGCCAAAGCCAAAATGATTTCCCAAAAGTCATATTCATATTCATCTGGTGGTGCACTCAGGCACATCATGGGCTGTGCTGGTGGCAAAGAAACATAACCAGGACCTCTGATGAGGATGTGTGGAAGTTTTACTTGTTAAAGGTAAGACATTTTTTGTGGCAAAAAAAAAAAAGTGTCTCCTGCAGCTCCTGGGAGGTGTTGTTGGGGTATAAGAAGTCTTACACTGAAAGGACAGAACTGACAGGGTAATTTCCAAATTATAGGTGAGGCAGCTGGGGCACAGGGACACAAAGCAACGCTGGCACAGACATGGGGAAGTCTAATCACAAGCATAGCACTGACCAGCTCTTTGGCCAAGAATGGAGATGTCCTCTTCTAAGCTATGCTAGTGCCAGAGTTTTGCCCTCTCATTGCCCCTTTTGGATGTGCTGGGGGAGCAGTGGCATCATAGTTAAGTCAAGCTCCCAACTTGAGTTTTGAATCTATTTTTTCTGGGCTTCAACAGCAGCCATCCTTCATACAACCAGCAGCAGAAGAAAGCTGTTGTCCGTAGCATGAGTTGTGTACCAGCATCATCCCTCACTCCTTTCCCTTCTCTGGCTGCTCCAGCAGACCATTAACAGCACTGCAATATGCAGGAGCACAGACCAGACTGGGGCACAGTTTGCTCTGTGTGCAGCTACAAATGTAGCTCTGTTCCAGCTGACAGGCTTATACGACCTCATATCTATAAAACCTGATCTTAAACGTGCACCAGTCATTAGTTTTAAAACCCCGCATGGACATAAAACCCAGAGTTCAAAAGCTGCAACTTTTCAGAGACAGGGGAGGGGAAAAAATAGCTGTGAGTTTTTAGGTTAAAATCCAGAAACGCTGGACTGTGGTTTTGCAGATGCGATTTCCATGCTGCCACCATCAGTGGCAGGTGGAGTTCGACACCTCTGCTGCCACCATCCTCCTTCCAAGCCTCTAAGCATGGCTCAGGGTAATGAGATTTAAGGATATGAAACGTCCTGGAAGAGCTAAGGAAAGATAATCAGGGCTAGTGTGCTGACAAGGGGGGAAGAGGCTGAAAGGGGGGAGGCTGTGGACTGGGTGGCTGCAATTCCACTTCCCTGAGCCAACATTAAGGCAAATCCGGTCTTCTGGCTGCAGATGTGGACTGTTTCAATAATGAAAACATTTGAATTAGAAAGAGAAGCTGAGAAGACAAGGGGACTTGCTCAGGCCTATAGATACCAATGCTCTGGATAATTCATGTCCTAGACCTGTTTGTTTGAAAGCATCTCTGAAAGATATTGGCAGGTATTCCAAAGGTAGCTGCGTGTGCAGGTGCCTTCTGTCCCCAGCCAAAGGCATTGCAATTAAGGAAACAAATGTCAGCTTTTCTCCTGGCCTTTCTTAATCCCCCAGCTGTCTGGTGCAGTGCTGTCCTCTTTGGTGGATATCTGTGCTGCAGGGGGACAGCCCTCACCTGGGGGAAGCACTAAGCTCTGGCATGCAGGGGCTGGCTTAGCTGTCTGTAACCCGGGGGAACAGATGGCACTGCCTGACAAACGCAGACTGTCCCCCCACCCCCCTTCCCTGCTCCTTTCTTCTGCAAATTGAGGGCCTTAAAAAGGATTGATGGGGCCAACAACAACCTCATCTGGGCAGACTTTTGGGGGGATTAACGCCTGGTTGCTGGGGAAAGGTTTAATGGTCCAAAGAGATCAACAGCCTCAAGCCAGTTTATTAATCAGCTGGGGCTAAGGCCATTATCGCTTAAAGGCTCAGCCTGGGGGGGCACAGGAGGCAAGGGGTGACAGTGATCCATCTCTGCAGAGAACCAAACCAAAGCAAGTGAGGAGATCCCTGGAATCCAGCACACAAACTCACTGATCTCTCAGGGACTAAGATTTAGCAAGGAAATGCAAAGGGAAAAGGGAGCGATGGGCTTGTTTCATCTGCATCTGATACATCACAACCCCTCTCACTCCCTCCCGGCTGCAGCAGGTCCCAAACAAGCCCAGGGGCTTCCAGCCAGCTTTGTGCCTAGCAGTGGCTACTAGACATCACCAAACCCTGTGCTGTGGCCTGGACAGTTGGGGACTACTCTTGGGAGAGGAGATTTATTTCTAACACCTTGTTCAGAGATCAGGTTTCTGCCCTGGAGCATGAAAACGGAGGTTCTTATTATTTTTATCACAGCAAGTCAAAGCACAGAAGCTATTCTTATTCATATAAGTGTCTAATCCTCCTCTGATTCCTTCTGAGCTGTTGCATTTGCTTTCATTACTTTTCCCAGTTTTGGCTAAAATAAATTTTGCAGTATAATAATCTGCCCTTACAACGAGCAGTCCCTGAGAGGAGGAGAGGAGGCACAGAGCAGGTCCTGCTATGGACCCTCTCCCACCTCAGGGCCCAGGAAAAGCTTGGCTGTGTCCTGGCTGCCCTGGAGAAGTTGGAGGCTGTTTGTATGGACGAAGGGGTTGATGCTGTTTTTGGACTACCTAACACGGGGTCTCAGTGACTCAGTTTAGTCATTTCCTCTCCAATCCAGACCCTTCAGGGGCCATCTATAGCAGGATGTCTGAATGCAGCAGAGGTACAAGGTCATCTCCTGGGGCCCTGTGTGGGTGAGCAGTAGGACTGCAGGGAAGGAGACCTGCTCCCAGGTACAGGAGGTCTCTGGAGAAAGTTTCAACTGCATCCATTGCAGTTGAAAATTGTTGGGTGGGAGCCACTGACTTATTCTGGCCAGGCTTGGGTCTGGGAAATATTACAGCGAGCTGGTAGGGGTGGCTTGGGGTCAGGAGGCTTTTTAATTGCTTGAAAGCAAGGTCCCTGTGCTTTATCCTCATAGTCTGTTTTAAGTTGCCAACAAAGACTCTGATCTTCTGAGGAGAGTTCTGGCTTTGCTCTAGAATCTGATCACAGAGAGAAATTGTTTCTGTTCCAACACAGTTCTAGGTGGCCGAAAACCTATTTTATTTTTGGATTTTTTTTCCCCCCATCCAAAGTCACGAACTTTGATGTGAGAGCAGGTGACTTACCTGCGTTCACCTGCCTCTTTGAGCAAAACTTCTAAACTCATACTCTGCTTTTCTTCTTTCTTCCTGTAAGTGCATGCCTCAGCCAAATGCATTTCTGCTCCCTTGGGACCCTAGTTCCTGGGCAGCCTGGACCTCTGGCTGGCCTGAAATGGTAAAAGCCAGCAGGCCCCATACACTCCGACAAACAAACCTCTCTGCTCCTCACTTGGTGTTTTCAAGAGTCCCAGAGACAATCTCTCCCCTGGAGAGGAGCTGGGACAATCAGCAGGTGAAAGCTGTTGCTGCAGGAGGCAGTTGGTGTTAAAAAAAGTGTGTTTGTGTTTGTGTGTGCGTGGCTTAGGGAACAAACAGGGTGAGCAACCTCCTGTGTCTTTGGATGGTTTCTGCACATCACTTAACATAGATTTCCTGTTTGCAAGGGCAGTAGCCTTGATTTAATAAATCAGAGAGCAGAAAGAAGGCAGCAGACAGCAGGGACAGGCTGAGTTCACGGAGTTCTCTTTCTGGAGTTCCATGCCTGGACCTCACTGCTTCTTATCCATCTTTTCACGGGTGGGATGGCCTGTGTAGACTCAGTATTCTGTACTTTTGGATCCCAATGGTTCCAAACTATATGTTTCTATTGCTTTAGCAAATGCAGGATGGGGATCAATGTGTAGCATGCTGTGAGCTGTGATTCTGTAAGATCAATTAAAACTTGGTTATGCATCTTTGTAGCACGTAGGAGAACTTTATGCCACTGGTTCAGCTGCAGAGGTGACAGTTCTTGGTGGTCTTGCTTTTTATGGCTATAGAGACTCATGCTACTGAGTCCAATAATGATGTTGGCAAGCCCACACATGGACCTACCACTGGAATTAATCAACATAAAATGTGCTGAAGGCCAAGGACTGTAATAACTGGGGGAGCTGTGGGAGCCAACAAGTAACTCCTTTACATGAGCCTGAAGTTTCTGTGCAGCAAATGGAAGTGAAAGAGTTTCCTCAGATTAGGTATGCTGGTCCTACTTGGATCTCCCCTTAAACTAAATTCAG